ACCTTGCAGGACAGGATCAGGACTCAGCCCTCAACTCCTGACTAGTAGAGGGAAGATCGCATTCCCATTATCTCCAGTTAACCTCTGTTAACTAGCTGAACGGCCCACTGGTGCGATATCTCCCCGTCCGTAAGGTGAGACTCCAGTTTCTGAGCTGCGTTTGTCAGAGTCCTCGGGTTCCATGGATTTGCTGAAGGGCCTCTGAGGGAGGAGGGTTGCCAGCCGATCGGGGTTCCTGTCCCCCGTCCTGTCCTTCGAGAAGCACATCTCTGCTTTCCTTCTGTATGTTGGCTTCCCTGGGATATTTTGTTTGAAGGATGACACATGTGGCTTTAAAAAGTGTGAGGACCAATGACCTTTAGGGTCCCTTCTATTTTTTTTAAAATTAATTAATTTGGTTGCACCGGGTCTTAGTTGCGGCTCGAGGGCTCCTTAGTTGTGGCATGTGAACTCTTAGTTGCGGCATGCATGTGGGATCTAGTTCCCCGACCACGGATTGAACCCGGGCCTCCTGCATTGGGAGCTTGGAGTCTTAACCACTGCGCAACCAGGGAAGTCCTAGGGTCCCTTCTATTTCTAAAATCTTGAGTGTTCGATCCCTTCATAAGTAATAACACAAAAGGTCCTTGAAACCTCACTTTCAGTTCTTCAGCTCCGGTAATTGTGTATCAGTTGTGGGTGAATTTTTTGTAAAAATTAAGATGTTTGAGAATTCTCTGCCCCATTCCATCCTCAGCAATCTTGAGGGGCCGAGGGTGGGGAGAGTAGAAAAGCATCCCGAAAGTGAAGGTGAAGCTCAGGTCTCCACCCCGCACTGCCTCCTCTCTGACCCGGATTTAGCCACGCCCACTCAGCAGTGTCCCATCCCCAGAGCTGAGAATCACTTTCACAAGGAACCACCGTGCCTCAAGGGGGTGGGGCTGATTTTCCTTCCCGTCAGTGTAATCCTAGTAGGATTGTCCGCAAGACGACAGTCATGTGACCATGTGGGCCAATCGCAGCTCTCTCTCAGAGATGTGACTCCTGGGGGCAGAGATGAATGCCTTTGGAGCTGGGTCATCCCAAGGACTGTGCCGTGGACCCCAGCTGCTTAGATTGCTGGGACTTCCCTGCTTTCTGTCCTTCCCAAGGCCTGTAAATTACCCAGGATCTATCTGGTTCCTCAGCCCTTTCCCACTGCTGGAAAGACACCCAGGCTTTCTTTCCTTCACCGTGTCTGTCATGAAGGGGCTTCCCAGGCTTATGTGACAGTCCTGAGTAATTCAGAAAGCCATTCACCAGGACCTCCGAGGGGCATCCCACCTTCCCTGGGGCGTTTGCACAACAGCATCAGTAATGCTCTGCTCTCCCAGGGGCTGGCGGGGTGGGGAGAGTCGGACAGCACAGGTCTTGAAACAAGGGCAATACTGCTGTGTTTTCATTGTACTCTGTGTGACCATCCCTGTGACACAGGATTTGAGGAGCCATCATTAAGCCCCCAGGATGGTAAACTCCTGAAGGCAGAGCGTATCAAAAGTCAGCGACTGGTTAACTCATTTATCAAAAGAATGAGCCCAGAAGCTAAAACACCCAAAGACGGATTTCACATTATTTTAGTTCAGAGCCCTGTACCTGGTGACATGCATCCCTTTTAATAATTTGGTTCATTCTTTTACTTCTGATTTAAAAATAATACTTCAGACCATGGGTGGGTCCCTTAAAGGGTGTGATTTTCACACACGCTGTTGCTTCTCTCGATGGGCAGCGGAGCTTGGACAGCGGAGGCCCAGCTCCAGGGCTGAGAAGTGGGTGGCACCTCAGGGAAAGCGTGCAGGAGAGTCCAGGGGCTGTGGGTGAGGAACCGGCTCTGGGTCTTGGGGTCCTTCCCTTCTTCCCTCCCCACCTGTTTGCCCAGCGTTGGCATCCCTGGTATCCATGAAGGGATTTCAGAGTCTTCAGGGGAAAGGATTTGGTAACTGGAAATTAGAGGCTGAAAGGGCTGTGGGATTCACCCTAGAGCAGGAGACACTGAGGAAGACAAGATGGTTCACGTGTCTAAAATCAGTCCTCTAGACCTTCCGTGTCCAGCGCAGGGGCGACTAGCCATGTGAGGCTGGGGAGGGGTCAAAATGCAGAGAGTTCAAATCGATGTGATGTGTTGTGAGTGTGAAATACACACCAGGTTTCAAAGACCTAGGCTGGAAAAAAGGAAAATATCTCATCAATAGCTTTTAAAATGTTGATGACATGATAAAATGATAAGATTTTGGGTATATTGGGTGAAATAAAATATATTGTTAAAATTAATTTCACCTGTTTCTTTTATTTAATGGGGCTACTAAGAAATTTTAAATTATGCCTGAGGGTTGGACAACCCTGTATTAGAATAACATTTAATTTAAAAAATTTTATTATTATTATTATTTTTTTTGGCTGCATTGGGTCTTCGTTGCTGTGCGCGGGCTTTCTCTAGTTGCGACGAGCGGGAGCTACTCTTCATTGTAGTGCACAGGCTTCTCATTGCGGTGGCTTCTCCTGTTGTGGAGCATGGGCTCTAGGTGCGCGGGCTTCAGTAGTTGTGGCGCGTGGGCTCAGTAGTTGTGGCTCGCGGGCTTAGTTGCTCCGCAGCATATGGGATCTTCCCAGACCAGGGATTGAACCTGTGTCCCCTGCATTGTCAGGTGGATTTTTAACCACCGCACCACCAAGGAAGTCCCAACTTATTTAATTTTGGCTTGCATACACCTACACAAAAGGCATGTGTGAAGGTACATCGCTAACGATTGCAAATCGACCCATCTGATCTAGCACAACTCTTAAGTTCTTTAAGATAAACTCTGCAGTTCTCTTGGGTAAATAAAATAGTTTCAGAGGTTTGAGTTGGGTGAGGGTTAGCCGATCCCTGACAATCTTGCTGAAGTTTCAGACCAAATTCACGTGAATGGATATTTATTAAATAAGCCTTTTTTCTGATGCAGTCCCTAAGGTTCATACAGCCTCTTCTCCAGGCTCCATGAAGTCCCAGATCTCTGCTGTTTTAGGTGCTAAGGCAACACTTTGCATGAAAAGCTCATTCAAGGCAGGTGATACAATAGGGTCAGGATTCTGGTATCCTTGCTGTCGGCGTCAGACAATCATATCTCCCTACACTAGCGGTCTTTTACAGGAACGATTGTAAGGAATCAAGTGCCTTTCCTAAGAGTGCAGGCCTAATGCCTCCCTGGAACCTAAATGCTATTAGTACCAGGATGGCGCGTGTCCCAAAATATCTTGGCCTGTCCACATACCTTGACTGTCTTAACTCTGTTCATGCAGTGGTAGGGAATATCTTAAATATTTTAGCAAACCACATTTCTACCTTTGTCAGTGAGAGCGCATTGCTAACGTTCATCATGCTTTTTAACAAGTCATTAGGAAGTCAGTAAAAATTCACTTAGCAAGCCCTCAGGTGTTGGCAGGTGGGCGTGGCAGAGGGGGCAAGGAACTTGGACCTGTAACATTTCGCTGAATTGTTGAAGTATTTAAGTCAGTTCCCGACATCACAGCACTATCTTATGAAGAGCACAAATACTTACTCATACCTATTTGGTTGATCCAAACAAGATCAATGAGATATGGGCTTCCCTGGTGGCGCAGTGGTTAAGAATCCACCTGCCAATGCAGGGGACACGGGTTTGAGCCCTGGTCCGGGAAGATCCCACATGCTGCGGAGCAACTAAGCCCGTGCACCACAACTACTGAGCCTGCACTCTAGAGCCCAAGAGCCACAACTACTGAAGCCCATGTGCCTAGAGCCCGTGCTCCGCAACAAGAGAAGCCCGCACACAGCAACGAAGACCCAACACAGCCAAAAATAATAAATAAATAAAACAAATAAATTTATTGAAAAAAAGATGAATGAGATAAAAGTTGGTGAATTATCAAAAAGTTTGGTGAGAACATTCAATCTTCTGTCCTAAGTGTTATTTCCAACTTGAAAGGAACAAACACTATTCACCACAGCAATCATGCTAAAACATGAATTTTATGTTGAAGATACATGGCCTCAAGGTGTCAACAGTCCTTGGGAGAAAACTCTTAAAATTAAGGTTTCCTGTCCCATAGGTTGTCTTTTCACTTCGTTGATGGTTTCTGTGCACAGGTGTTTTGAGTTTGATGTAGTCTCACTTGTAATTTTTTGATTTCGTTGCCTGTGCTTTAGGTGTCATGTCCAAAAAAATCATTGCCAACACCCATGTCAGGGAGCTTTTTCCTGTTTTCTTCTTGGAGTTTTTGTTTCAGTATTAAATTATTTAAATCTTTCATCCATTTAGAGTTCATTTTTGTGAATGGTAAGATAGGGGTCTAGCTTCATTCTATTGTATTTGTTTATTTTAAATTTTTATTGGAGTATGGTTGACTTACAGTGTTGTGTTAGTCTAGCTTCATTCTAAAATGAAGGTTTCAGTGTTAAGGGAAAACTGTTTCTTAGTCTTAGAAACTCAACTCACTGATGATAGGATATAGAACAAATACAGATGTAACTTAAATTTTAAGGTTATCGGTGTATAAATGTACTCTTTCCCCCTGATCTTTCTAGATCAAGGCTTCTCAACTCTGGCACTACTGACACTTCGGACTGGAGAATTCTTTCTTGTGCGGGGTTGTCCTAAGTATTGTAGGATATTAACAGCATCGGTGGCTGCTACCCACTAGATGCCGGTAGTAACACCCCCACCTCCCGCCCGCCCCTGCACCCCCCCACCCCCCCACCCCCACCAAGTGGTGACAATTTAAAAAGCCTCGAGATTGTGCCAAATGTCCCCTTGGGGGCAAAATCACTCTCAGCTGAGAACTACTATTCTAGACCAGGTCCAATGGGCTAACCCAGTGCTTGGCTAGAAATGCAGAATTTCAGATGCCCTCCCAGACCCACCAAACAAGTCTGCATTTTGGTAAGACCCGGCCGATGTCACACCCACGCCCGTGCTCTCCGCCCCCCGCCCCCCGCGGCCCCTCAGAGTCGATGCCTCTCATTGCAGGAGGCAGATGAAGCCCTGCTGAGTAACCTGCGCCTTCAGATGGAAGCCCAGTTTCTGCAGGATGACATCACTGCGGCCAAGGACAGGTACAAAAAGGTAACCATGACCCTTCTGTAGCCCTTCCCCCCAAAAAAACAGTTCAGGGCACTCGTGGCTGAAAAAATGGGGTGGCTGGAGTGGGCTGCCCTGTGTGCGATGCCCCGAACCCAGCGGGGCTGGGCTGGTCGCTGGACGGCACCTAGTGAGCCAGACCTGTGGGGCTGTGGGAGGGGTGGCAGCGTGGGGTGTGTGCGTGTGTGTGCGTGTGTGTGTGTGGGGGGGGCGGTGTGTGTGTGTGTGTGTGGGTTATGGGTCGGGGGTCGCCAGTATCTGTGCAGGACGTCACAGTCCACAGAGTAATTGCACACAGATCCGTCTTGATTAAGCTGTAGCCTGTTGACTGGTTCAGCTCAGAAAATGGAGAAAATGCAAAAATTGTAATTTTTTAGCGCTGTCTCTGAGGGAACACATGGCACGCAGGGGCCTCCTCGCATGTAGCGCTGTGCTCTGCCCCCACCCCTGCCAGCTTCTCACAGGCCTCACGTTGGGGGGGGCCTTGGTGTTCTGGAAATGTCCAGTCCTGGAGCTGTGTAACCAAGGGCCAGTGGCCTAACCTCTCTGAGCTTCTTCATCTTTGAAATGCAAACGCCAGACTCTCCTTCCTGCACAGCCATGTCATCTGAGCATAGACACCTGTGGGTCTGGCCATGACCCTCAACCCTCGGGGCTGACCTCTCCAGGGAGCCTGGCCTCCCTCCAGCTGCAGTATCTGTGTCTCTGCCTCAGGACAGATGTGCACCAGGCAGCGGAGGGCAGGTCTGCCTCACAGGAAATGTTGGGGAGTTAATGCTGAGGGAGCAGCCTCAGCCAGGGACGGATGGAGTTGGTGGACACATACCCCAGCTCCCTCTGCACCGGCTCCCAGAGAGCCCGCTAGGACTGGTGCCCACAGGGGTAATTCACCTGAAAACACAGTGTCTCACCTCCCCGCTCCACTGCTCGTGTTTCCTGACATCTTTGCCCAAGCAAACTATTTGCACCCAGATCCTTCTCCCAGGATCTGTATCTTACTCAGCTGGGGCTGCTATGACACAGTACCACAGACTGGGTGGCTTATGAGCAACAGAAATTCATTCCTCTCAGTTCTGGAGCCTGGAGCACCGAGATCAGCATGCCGGCAGGGTTGGGTTCTGGTGAGGACCCTCTTCCTGGCTTGCAGACGGCTGCCTTTTTGCCATGCACTCACCTGGCCTTTCCTAGATCCGTATCCATAGAGAGAGTGACTGCCTTTCTTATCAGGGCACTAATCCCACCCTGGGGGCCCCACCTTCATGCCCTCATCTAAATCTAATTGTTCCCCAAAGGTCCCACCTCCAAATACCATCCTGCTGGGGGTTAGGGCTTCAGCACGTGAATTTTGGAGGGACACAACTTTCGATCTATAACTGTCTGCCTCTGGGGAAAGTCACACTGAGGCAACGTGAAGTAATATGGGTGAAGCACCTGGTACAACCTGGAACTTGGCAAGTGCTCAGGCAGCATCAGAGTCCCTTCCTGTCTCTGTGGGTGCCTGCTGCATTGTCTCACTGAATCCCAAAAAACAGCCTCAAGAGACAGTGTCCTAGGTTCCCTGTCAGCAGAGCCTGAGGTGCCTATAGGTGGGATGGGGGTTAGGAAGGCGAAAGGGAAGGGGCTGAGCTGGAGTCCAGGCTCAGCCTGATCCCATGGGGGCTCTGGAGCGTGAATCACACCACAAGCTTGGTCCCACCTTGAGGCAAGAGGGTTGGTCTTGTGTCCTGAGCCAGGAGTCATTGGTCCGGGTGGGGGATGGTGTGGCATTGGGGGCAGTTGCATAGCTTCCTGGCAGGATGACCACTGTGTGGCCAAGGGCAGTTCTGCAGAGGGGGCAGCTGTGCTACGTCGGCAGCTCTCGTGCAGGGAGCCGGCCCAGGCGATCTGCTGGTGAAAGGGACCAGGCATTGCCTTCAGGTTGTTAATCCCTCTTTTGTGGAAGAATCGGAGGTTTAGGCGGTTTGAATACCTTGCCTGAGGCCACGTGCAGCTAGTGAGTGAGGCAGTCCCCGCCGGACTGGCCACAGCCTGTCCTCTGAAGCACCGCCTGTGCTGCAGTCAGCAAGGTCCTTTGTGCCCTCCGGGATCTCTTTGTCCCCCATCCCTGCTTTTCTGATAACCCTGCATCCAGGGCGCTATGGAGACAGCGGCAAGGCAGCCACGGGACTGAAGGGAAGGTGACGTGAACTAAGCCTCGGTTTATTCATCGAGCCCAGTGTTCTCATGCAGATTAAAGGAGGCATAAAGCGGCCTCCGCACCCATCACCGTCTGTCCTATTTGTGGCGGTGGGACACGTGAAGGCATTCATCCTGCAGGTCACCTGGTACTGGAGGGGAAAATGTGGGGAGCTCAAGTTCTCATGAGAACGCTTTCCTCCCCCAACAGAACCTTCTGGAGATTCAGACCTACGTCAGCATCCTGCAGCAGATCATCCAGACCACCCCGCAAGCAGCCGCCGTAACCAGTGGCACGAGGGAGGTAAGAACGGGAGCCCAGGCGGCTGCAAGACCGCATGTGGGGATTTGTCCTGCAGCCCCGGGAGCCCAGAGACCCAGGGAGAGGCGCCAGGTCACCCCCACTGCGGATTCACATTCGAAGTTCACTCTTCTGCTCTTTCACTCAGATCATGAACGTGGGTATTTAGACATCTGAGGACATAAACTGTGCCCCTGACCATCTTCTTAGGTATTTCCTCTTGAGGATTACGGGCTGTCCTTCCTTGTCTAGTTTATAAGAAACTTCCAGACTGTTTCCCAAGCACTGTAGCACTGCTGCATCCCCACTGGCAACGGATGGAAGTTTCTGTCGCTTTGCTTCCTTGTCAACGCTGGGTATGTCGGGTTTTTACTTTGGTTTTGCCGCTTGCTACTCTAATAGGTATGTTGTGTATCTCGCTGTGCTCTTAACTTGCATCCCCTCACGCCTTAATGATGTTGAGCATCTTTTCGTGCGCTTATTTGCCATTTGTATAGCTTCTTTGTTGGACTATCTACCCAAGACTTTTGCCCATATTTTTTTATTGGGTTGTTTGTTTTCTTATTCCCCTTATCAATTTGACCATAATTTTGAATACAGAGAACCTCAGACAATTAGTGACTCTATTTTCAAGGTCAGGCTCTGCTAGTCTGGGGCATGAAAACTCTTGGGAAAGGATAGAGGTGATTGAAGCCGATTTTTAAAAAACTGGGATTTGGATGTAAAACCTTATTCCCAATATGTTCCAAATCCCTTCCTCACTTAGCTCGCTAGCAGGGCAACACGATATTGATGTATTTTTTCCCCTAATGTGGTTTATAGGATTTTGTGACGCATGATAGGATATTGTAAAAATAAACTGAAAAGAATGCAGATTAAAACAAAAATGTCATGTGTCCTTTCTTCAGAGGAATGTTACGCTGGGACAGGGTTTTGTAGACTGTTCAACTGAGAAGACTCTGGGTTTTTCTGCAAGGATGACTTAGGACAGAAGTCTACCCAGGCCCACACCCTGGAGAACCAGTGGGCTAGGGTGTTTGTTTGAACCTAATTTTTTTATATCAAAGCTAAAGAAATCCCCAAATTTGCTTTCAGAGACACTTTTGAACCCTGCCAAGTAACATCTAAGAGGCAGGAGAGTTACTTTTTTTGGCCTTGACGGGGATATTCTTGTCCACATTGCCCACCAATGACCCCAACTGAACTGGGGTTGCCACTAAGACCTAAAAAACAGCTTCTCCTAAAGCATAATTTTCTTTGTCAGAGACTTCTTTCCAGACACTTTAGTTCTGTTTTGCAGACATTTTTCCTTTAGTTCATAGGTGTTTTACATCAGAGCATACTTTTAAAATCACATCATCTGTTCCCTTGTAACCCTGTTCTTCTGAGTTGTACTAATGTAGCGCCATCTAGACCTAGTTTAATAGTGTCAGTGATCACCAGAGACCCTCAGCATCGTTGCCCAGAGGCTTGAGACAAATGCAGCATCTGCAGCCCGACCCCCAGCAGACCCACTGTGTCAGAATCTGCATTTTAGCAAGGTGCTCAGGGATTCGTGTGCACGTTAAAAAGCAGATGTAGAAAGAATCACATTCTTTATTAATCTCAGCTGAAAAATTCTACATACGAGCTAGGTGGTTGCTTTCAGGTTTGCCCCTTTGACTCTTGTTACTGTCCTAGAAAATGCCCATTGAGTTCGCACAAAGGATATAATTAGCGTTGCTTCCTAGGAGCCTGGGGTTAATGTGTCCATAAAGCATAAAGTCAGTGTCCTGTAGCCAGAGGTCCCTGGGGCCACCCCTGTGGTCCAATCAAGCTGGGTTTATTACTCCCCACAGGAGGGGAGGGTATACGCCGTGGACGGGGACCTGCGCTGGTCTGGGTACTGTTGAGGGGTGGGGGGCTGGTCTTATGGCTGAATATCCCCCTATTTTGTACCTTGGAGGCCAAGGTATGGGGTGAGGCTAAGGCTGTGCTTGGTAACTAAGCACCATCACTTGAGTTAGTGGTCATTTCTGTGGTTACACAGTGATCGCTTGGTCTGAGCTCAGACACAGTTGCAGAGCCGGTCTTGTTTCTGTCTTGTTCCCCTGGGATCCCAGAGTGACATCTTTAGGTGTTGAGGTGGCATCATCTGTAAATTTATAAGGAGGGAGCATCATGCTGGGGGGTGTTGGTTAGTGCCGGCTTCCAGCTGACAGCTGCCGGCTGTCTTCCTTCCTCTACAGTAAGTATCCAAGGGCCTCCTGTGCGCGAGGCACTGTGGGGGCACCTGTGGATGGACATGGGGAGGATGTAGTATAAGTAGGAGCTGGGCGGTGAGGAGAGGCGGGGCCAGACAAGCAGGCCGGGCCCTGGCGGGGAGGTGGGTGAGGGATTTGCAGCGTGTCTGCGTCCATGCTGTGGCTGCAGGTCTCAGCTGGCATGTTTGCACATCCTCCATGTAGTGGTACCCAGAACGTGAGTCCCCTCTGCTCCCAGCTGTCCCCACGTCTGTGTCTTTGGGGCAGGGAGGCGGGAGCCGAGGCACAGAGAAGCAGGGAGGACAGAGAGAGAGAGAAACAGACTGACAGACAGGGAGAGAGACACACACAGAGAGACTGAGAGAATGCACATCTCCGCTGGGAGACTCAGAAAGAAACACACCATCCTTAGGCAGCTCTGTCCCCAGGCCCACTCCTCCTCCCTTGCTCTCACTTTCTCTGTGTCTCGTTGCTCCGGCCACTTTGCAGGCAGCTGCAGAGCAGGGGCACCTTCAGTGGGTGGCCGTGAACGTGCTGGGCTGTGACTCTGCCCGGCAGGGGGCGGGGGGCGGTGTCTCTGTGTCAGAAGGTGCTGCTCTAGAGAGGCCAGGCTCTCAGGAAGGGGTTTAGATGTTTCTGAATAATGTGGAGAGGCTGGTGGGAAAAGGGCAGCTGCTCTGCAGAGTGTGGAGAGGTTGAGGGTGGACCTACTTCCAAAACATTCGGGGAGCACCAACAGGGCTTCCCCTGTCGCCATGGCCCCTGCTGTGTGCCATGGGGACGGCTCAGCACAGTTGGTGGCTCTGGCTCAGGGCTCAGGCTTAGAAAACAAAGTGAAAAGGCAGTGAGTGGCCACGGTGGGCCTACCTGAGTCAGCTTGGCTGCTGTGACAAAATACCGTAGACCAGGTGGCTCAACCAACAGACACTTATTGCTTACAGTTCCGGAGGCTGGAAGTCCAAGGTCAGGGGGCTGGCAGATTTGGCCCCTGGGGAGAACCCCATCCCGGCTGGTAGATGCCACCCCTCTCTCTGTCCTTTCCTTCCTGCCCGCATGGAAGAGGGGGCCCTGGTGTCTCGTCCTTTTCTAATAAGGACACTAATCCCATCATGAGGGCCCCACCCTCATGACCTCATCTAAACCAACCCTCCTGCCAAAGGTCCCACCTCCAGATGCCATGCATTGGGGGTTAGGGCCTCGGCCTGCGAACTTGGGGGGATGTAAATATGCAGAACACAGCGGCCCCTCTCCTCCGAGTGTGAGCATGCTGAGTCTGGCTTCTTTGTGCAGGCGAAGCTCTTGACGGAAAGGGAGGTGGCCACCCTGCAGAGCCAGCTGGAGGACAGCCAAGAGGTGCTCTGCCTCCTGCAGGCCCAGAGAGCCGAGCTGCAGGCCCAGGTATGCCCGCCCCTCCTGTCTGCCCCTCTCATTCAGGTGTCTCGGGCCTGCACAGGTGAGCACTCGTGCATCTAGCGCTGCGAATTCTACAGACTCAACACACCTGTGTCCTCAGCCCTCAGAGCCGCAAACAGCATCCTCAGTGAGGTGACCAGCAGTCCACTCCCCGGGACGCCTTCCCGCCCAGAATGGAAAAGCCCTGGGCCAATGGCGGCAGTGGGTCCCAAAAATTCGTGGTCCCTGGAGATCCCCCGCAGGCCCCCTTTGAGCAGCTGCCCCTCCCCCACCGAGGGTAAGCTATCCCCACTTCTGCATAACCGATCTGTCTTGCCCAGTTTAACCTTGTTTTTGAAAATAAGAAATGGACATACGTTGGGGTTCTTACCCTACGCTCGCATGAATCTGTGCTTCCTGTTTCTCTTCTCATGACCTAAACTCTCTCCTTCGGAATTTGACTGCAGCCCTGGAGAGAGGGGTTGTGCTGGGATTTGCTCCTGCTCAGAACTTGTCAGCGGAAACTTTGCATTTCCACCCCACCCCTTTTCTTTTTTCGGTGACGCTTAGTTTGCAAACGAGCAGAAAAGCTTTTTGCAAACTTTGCAGGAAAGCGCAGTCCTGTCTCTGTGGCCTTCCTTTGCGGTTAATGAGCTTCGTGGGTCACCTCACCCCCGCCAACCCTGTGATTCCTCCAGTTTTCTTCCTCTCGTTACTGTACACCGGGCCATTCTGATGGGGACGTTGGGTTAGAATACGCTTCTTGCGCTGTGTAACCACATTTCCCAAATCCAAAAGTAAGTTGACGTTCGGTTTGACGAGTACACATAAGGGACAAGGGAACAAAAATTTTAAAATCTGCCCCTCTAGAAAACCCAGACCATTAAAGGCTATATGTGACTTTGTCTCTATCCCACCAACGCCTGACAAGATCAAACCCTGCTGAAGCCACGTGAGATGTGGTGCTTTTGGTGGGTGCACGGTGCCCTCCAGATCTCAGGACTTGAGTCCAGAATCCTGATGCCTGCCCCCCCCCGCCACCCGACCCCTCCCTGTGCAGCAACTCAGGGGCCACGGAGAGCAAACGGGGGCCTGGGGATGGTCCCCGAAGGCAAAGACCCCAGCTCAGGAAAGCGAGTACTGCCCTTAAAACGCGTCCTGCTCTTGTTGACAAACCACGGCTTGGGGACCAGACGCACCGTTTTGGTGACTTGGTGAATGTGTGGTTTCCTCTGAGGCCCTGAGAGGATGGAGGGAGGGCCAGGGTGTGTGTGTGTGTGATGTGTGTGCACGTTTTTATATGTGTGCATATGTGTATATGTATATGTGTGTATATGTCTGCATGTAAGTGTATGTGTATATGTAAGTGTGTGTATGCGTGTATGTGTGTGTATATATTTGCGCGTTAGTATATGTATATATGTGTGTATGTAAGTGTATGTGTAAAATGTGTGTATGTAACTGTATGTGTGTACGTGTGTAATGCATGTGCATGTTTTTATATGTGTGCATGTGTACATGCAAGTATATACGTGTATATAAGTGCATGTGTGCATGTAAGTATATGTGTGTATGTAAGTGTATGCGTGTATGTGTGTGTGTATGTGTGTGTACGTGTGTGTGTGTGAATGAGTGTTTAGAGAAGTGGATGCACACCCAGTCATGGTTCTAGACACCAGTGTTTTCCAAACCACCAGTTACAACTCATTACTGGGTTGTAAAATGAACTCAGCAGGATCGACTGGCTTGAGAAAAGAAGGAATTCACAGCACTAGCCTAAGACTGAAGAGGAAATGACAGGGTGCATGGCGAGTAGAGGCAGGATTTATTTTGTGAAACCTTTGTTTTAAATATATCTGTATGTGTGTTTAAGTATATAGATTTGTGCAAATACACACATGTACTTATATCTTTGTATGATGTCTATGGTTTGTGATGTAAAATGTAGCTCTTCCAGTGGCCACGGTGATGAGGTTGAAAACCTCTGCCCGAGAGACTGAGAAGGACCCCAGTCTCCTCAGGAGATGAGGGAGCCCAGCCTGATGTGGTGGGCACATCAACCGGTGAAGTCCGGTTCCAGGGCGAAAAGAATGCTTGTCTCTCTGTGAACTCATATGCATTTATTGACTATAAAAGTAAGACGGGGCTTCCCTGGTGGCGCAGTGGTTGAGAGTCCGCCTGCCGATGCAGGGGACACGGGTTCGTGCCCCAGTCTGGGAAGATCCCGCATGCCGCGGAGCGGCTGGGTCCGTGAGCCATGGCCGCTGTGCCTGCGCGTCCGGAGCCTGTGCTCCGCAACGGGAGAGGCCACAACAGTGAGAGGCCCGCATACCAAAAAAAAAAAAAAAAAAAAGTAAGGCGTTTCATAAAGGGTTAGCCTAGTTTCTGAGAATATGAGATAAAGCTCTCTGCTTGGCCGCCTGTCCCCACCCGTAGCTGCTGCAGAAAGACTGGCTTGTCTGACTCTGAGGTCGTTGTCTCTCTAACTGCGGGGGGCTTCACTGTCTCTTCTGTGCCATCCCCCCGCCAATCCCCTGCCCAGCAGTCTGGTGAAGCCCCTGGGCCCTTTCTGAGAAAAATGTTAAAGGCATATGGCTTCCGTCAAAGGTTTAGGACTATGGGAAGCTGAAGCTAAAGGGGCTTCTGTATTGTACTTTGCTTCTGCCCTTGTGTTTTGAAGGTTCTCATTTATACCTGGCGTATCAGAAGAAACATTTCAACAAAGTGTCTTGTTGGAAATGAATAGCCCCAGCCACCATCTGATGCCTTTATTTCTTATTGCATTCATAATTAAAAGTTACTAATTTGAACTTTTATGTTTATTTTACATTCTAAGTCTTTGGTAAAGTCACATATTAAGGATGACTGAAATACTTCCAGAGGAGCTCTGTTGGCATAGTTGGAGAGAAATGCATTTGAACTAATGTGGTATAAAACTGTAATAAAACAGAAATTTCATGTATTTGCCAAAATTCTGAGTTTGTAAAATTACCTTCATTTCTTTGGCATCACGTACTTACATTAATAATAGTAAAATAAGATATTGACATTTTCCATAAAAAAAAGAAAAATGTCAAAGGCATAAAGTACATAGAATTAAAAGGAAACCAATTATATTGAAACAAAATATTATCTGCCGAATTAGTTATCAAAATACTGCCAAAGCATTTCCTCTATAATAATATATGTGCTTATAATAAGTAAAACCTAGCAGGGGGTCTGATGAAACATGAGTCATATTAGTTTTCTCTTGCGGCCATAATAAATTTTCACAAAGGTCAGGGCCTAAAACAGCACTTCCTTGTGATCTTACGGTTCTGCAGGTTAGAAGTCGGGGCAGGCTTGGCTGGTTTCTCTGCTCTGGGGCTCACAGCCCTGAAATGAAGGTGTCATCCGGCCTGGGTCCCCCGTATCTGGAGGTTCTTGTTGGGTGGTGGGCCGAATCTGCTTCCTGTCCCATTCCTGTCATTGGCAGAATTCCCTTCTGTGTGCCGCTGGGACCAAGGACCCTATTTCTCTGCTGGCTGTCGGCCAGGATTTACTCCAGACGCCGTCCACCTTCCTTGGCCTGTGGCCCCTCCATCTTCAAGGACAGCAATGGTGCTTCGAATCTTTCTCATGCATCTAATCTCCCTGATTTCTGCTCTTAAGGGCCCGTGGAATTAGGAATAATCTAGAATAATCTCCCTGTTTTTTAAGGTCAGCTGAGTAAGAAGTTCCTTTGCCGAGTAACATAATATATTCATGGGCATACAGCTAAGGGGCAAAGGTCATGGGGCCGAAAGTCTGCCTAATTAGCTTGAATCAAAACACGCACGTGGCAGGACCCACCTGAGAGCTTCTGACTCAGTGGGTCTGGGATGTGGCCCAAGAATTTTTATTTCTAAATTCCAGATGCTGTTGCTGGTCGAGGAACCACACTTTGAGAACATTGATGTAGGGGTGGTCCAACGTTGGGCCAGAATATTCTACACCTCGGGCACCCGGGTTCCTGGCTCGGGCTCTCCATAGCCTTATTCACGAGATGTTCATGGCTGGCTTTTTGCTGATTTTAAAAGGCTGTTGTGACTTCCCAGTGGAGTAGCTGAGCTGAGCGTTCCAGGGGAAACTCGTCAGCCTAGCCCCTCAGCAGGGCCAGGGCCATGACTGGGGACATGATGGGGGTCAGGGGAGGGGGAGCTCCTTGCAGCCTGAGGGCTCCAGCCGGCAGGGCTGTGGCAGGTGGCAGCTGGTTCTGCCTATGGTTAGGGCATCTGATGCTTCTGGAACCCTCCGTCGCAGGGGGAGGTCCCTGAGCCAGCAGCATCGGTGTCAGCATCACCTGAGGCTTATCAGAAATGCTCGTTCACGGGCCCGTCCCAGATCTACGGAACCAGGAACTCCGGAGGGCCCAGCATCTCGTTTAACAAGCCCTCCAGGTGGCTCTGCAGGCTCAAGTTTGAGAACGTTTGTCCACAGGTTGCCCAGGACCGCACCCACGATTGGAGCTGAATGTGGACCACACACGAGACCCCTGGGGATGGCACTTCTTCCAGGCGGATGAGAAGGGACAGGCGTTCTGGTTCTCTAAATTGCATCTGCTGAGTTTCTGTGACAGGAAAGTGAAAAAAGTCAGATTATTGGGAAAGAATACTCCCAGGTGTCATTTCTCAGTAAAGTCCCTTAGCGCCACCTGGTGGTACGTTTTGGTAAGACAGCGTGTAATCGGCGAAGGGCACTTGATTTCTTTTTCCTTTTAGAAATGACCTTGGATCCAAAGGAGTCTGGGTGCCTAAAGGGACTGAGGCAGGAGGTCACCTCTCCAGATGCGCTCACTGTGAGGCACTGGCCCGGGTCCCTGAGGACCATGCTGTGCAGAGGCAAGACCTGCAGCTGTGCTGAAACACATCTTTCAGCCGTTTCTGGCCAGCCCCACGCGAGGTCCAGGGAGCACTGAGCAGAGCCTGGCCTGGCTCCTGCTCCGGCCGCCCAAGCCTGGTGGGGAGACGGCTATCAGCCGGATCTAAGCGGTCCAAGCGGAAACACACGGTCACCTAGCTCAAGATGAAGTTCCGGCTGCCTAGAGGCCCACACCTCCCACCTGCCTCTTTCCACCCGCCAGGGCTGTCTGTGGGCTGCTCTCTCCCCCTCTCCTCTCTGGACCCCTCCTGTGGATCCTGGCACCGGCGCCTCTGCTCCCCACTTCTCTCTCTGCGAGTGGCTTTGCTTCTGCAGCACCTGGACCGGCCCCACCTCCTCCTGGAAGACTTCCGTGATGTCCCCAGCACCCTGGGCCTCTCCGTGGGCTCTGTGACACCTTGGGCTTTGTTCCTGTGACCGAGCCGCCTCCCTCTCTGGGCTGTGGCTCCTGGAACGAGGGTTTCTTTCTCCCACAGTCAGGCTGGGGCGGGACGGCCTCTGAAGCCCGTGCCGAGATCACTCCCATCAGAGTCATTGCATGAGCCCCCTTTGCGCTGCTGCAAGTGGGGCTTTTATTGGTTTTCCTGAACACCCCGCCCTCTGATGAATGGTTTAAATTATTGAGCTGTAACACCAGGTGCTGCGGGCACAGCCCTTTCCTGCTCATGCGGGAGAAAGCTAAGCTTTGATGAAAGGCAGCTGTGATCGGCTTTCATGCCTTCCTGCTGCCCGGTTGACACTGGGATCGCTGGACCCCAGCCATGCCAGCCTGTGACCCGCAGGCTTCGTTCTCAGGACTGCTCCGTGGAAATGGAGAGTCTTACGTGGGGATTCATCCACTTCGGATGGCTTCTTGTCTCTGAGATTTGAGCCTCAAAGGGGTCCTTTAAATTCCTTACTTCATGGAAGCATTTCCTAGAGTGTGTGAACACCGGTGTGGGTAAGAGCATGTGGTCACACCAAGAATCAGAGGCTGTGCCTCAGTATTTGACATCCCAGGAGACTGTTTGAATGGAGATAATTTTTAATGAGGAACAGAAACCTGGTCAAACTCGCTTGGTTTATTTTGAAATAATTTTAGACTTCTAAGAAGCTGCAAAAATAGCTCAGAGGTTTCCCGTACTCTCCACCCAGTTCCCTCAAAGTCAACCTCTTAATAGCACAGCACCAAGGTTGGAACCAGGACATTGTCGAGCACGCCATCCTGGTAACAGATTTGCCTGAAATCTCACCTGTTACCCTGCTCACGTGTTTTCTGGCCCTGGATCCTGCTTGCATTCAACTGTCCTGTCTCCTCAGCCTCCTCCAATCTGGGACAGTTCCTGCCCATCTCTGTTTCTCATGACCTTGATGGCCAGTCCTCCTGTGGGACGTCCCCCCATCTGGACTTCCCTGATGCTTTCTCGGGGCTGAGCTGAGGCTCTGCGTTTGCGGCAGGAACACGACAGAAGTGATGGGTCCTCGGTGCCTCTCACCAGGAGCACCATGTGGCTGTGTCTTTGTACTGGGGGTGAGACTTGGGTCACCTGGGGTGGTGTCTCCAGCTTTCTCGACTGTGAAGATATTTTCCCCCAAAGGAGCAAGATATAAAGGGGCTGATGACCTTTGGGAACAGGGCGGGCGGCGGGAGCTTCTCACTCTCCCCGATTCCCTCTTTTCTCTCTTTTGCCGGCTGTCTCATCTCTGTTGCCTTTGCCTTTTGGCTTCATGTCTCTGTCTTTCCGAAGAATTGCCTTTCTCAGTTTCTCCATGCACTTTATGAAAGATTGTTTCTCCAGGGTGGTGGCTTCAGACCCTGGGCTTACGTGTCCCAGTGAGTCTAGAACCTACCACCAAGTCACTGCTATTCCTGAGATCCCTTCCCAGATGCCCGGAGAGGAAGCACGTGACAGGCCAGCCTGAGTCCTGGTTCTGCGGCTCTGGTCAGGGGAGTGTGGTCGCACTGCTGCCCGGACACTTCCTACGTGTGAGATGGGACAGTCTTCAGACATGGGGATGACACAGGCCAGTGGACGGCTTCCCAGAGTGTCTAGTGCATGTACCTCTCCCTCTGTTCCTTCCTTCCTTCCTCCCTTCCTCCCCCCCTTCCTGATGCAACAGATCCATTCCTGACAACCTTTGTCGGCTGCGTCTGCCGGTGTCCTCACTAGGGACGTCACTGTTCCACGGCCACATCTGTACATAAAGTGAGGAATCAGGCTGTCGCAGGAATAATCACCCTCTACATGTCCAATGTGCTCGTTTAGCTGCATGTGTGAGGCGTCTTGTGGTGGACATACATGAGGTTGGATTCAGATACCTATCTAGTCCCCCGTGACTCAAAAAGTGTGACCCGGAGACCAGAGCCATGGGCATCGAGTGGGAGCCGCTTAGAAATGCAGCCCTCCCGGGCTTCCCTGGTGGTGCAGTGGTTAAGAATCCGCCTGTCAATGCAGGAGACACGGATTCGAGCCCTGGTCCGGGAAGATCCTACATGCCACAGAGCAACTAAGCCCGTGTGCTTACAACCACTGAGCCTGCGCTCTAGAGCCCGCAAGCCACAACTACTGAGCTCGTGAGCCACAACTACTGAAGCCCAGGTGCCTAGAACCTGTGCTCTGCAACAGGAGAAGCCACCGCAATGAGAAGCCTGCGCACCGCAAGGAAGAGTAGCCCCCGCTCGCCGCAATTAGAGAAAGCCCGCGCGCAGCAACAAAGACCCAATGCAGCCCAAAAAAAGAAAAAGAAAAAGAAGTAACTAACCTTTAAGAAAAAAAGAAAAGAAAGGAAATGCAGCCCCTCCAGCCCCCCCGGACCTGCTGAGTCAGAATCTGAGCTGAACAGTATCCTTGGGGGGTTCAGATGCACGAAGAAGTTTGAGAACTCTTCCAGGAGAAGTGGGTTTGGTTTGCTTGTTCTATTTTGCTTTTGAGAACCGGCCATGCCTGTTAGATCTCTTCTCTTTGGGAAAATGAGGTTGTACTAAGCTTGTAAGTCAGAACGCTGTGGCCCTTTAGGGGTTGTCACAGCTCTTACAGTGAATGTGAGGCCACCTCTTTTTATTTTCCTACCTTAATTTTGATTTGTCCTGCATAAGTAGGTAATTAATGTTTCCCTGAAGTTATTTTATTTATACACATGTGCGAGTGTGCACACACGCACACACACCCTTTAGCTACCACAACATATACGTAACTCTACTGATCGGAAATGAGGAGAAAATTAAGGTGCCGTAGTGACTGAATAAGATCAAGGAAACTTCCTCCCTTAATTATTTCAGTAAAAATAGCATCTTATCTATTTAGTACATGTTCTTCTTTTTACTAATTTTTCAGCTGTCAGATTTATGCTAACTCAGTACATTATGAAGAATGTGCTTTGTTCGAGTTGCACATTTTATTCCATGGACGGCAGTTTTCGTTTCAGTTTCTGGGGTTGTCATCTTCCCACTGCCTTTGCGGGGTGGAGACTCTGCTAGGGCAGATTTCCAAGGGTGCTGATGCAAGCGTAAGGAGAAGGGGTTCACATCCCTCTGTGGCTTAAGGATTCCCTGCTGACAGAGAAACAGAGAAACAAACCCACAGAACAAATAAAACTGGATATGCCGCGTCCAGGGTATCCCTGCCGGGTCTGTGTCTTAAGCGAAAGGGTGGGCTGGGTTTCCTTACAGCTGTGTCTTTGCCCACAGACGGCGGCCCTAGAACAGGCCATCAGAGATGCCCACGAGTGCTACGATGAAGAGATTCAGCTCTACAATGAGCAGATTGACACCCTGCGGAAGGAGACTGAGGAGGCTGAGAGGAGCCTGGAGAGGTCATCCTACGACTGCCGGCAGCTGGTGGTCGCCCAGCAGACCCTGAGGAATGAGCTGGACCGGTATCACCGGATCATCGAGAACGAAGGCAACAGGTGGGGTCAGGGGTGGGCAGAGCCTGTGGCCACAGCGCCAACCTCTCTGGCTGGCCACTTACTTGTTCCACAGATCTTTGCTGAGTGTCTCCTGTGTTACTGTTCTAGGCAGTGGGGATGCGGCCAGGAAGGGAACCCCCAAATCTGTGACCTCACAGAGCTTGAATATTAGTCGGGGAGACAGGATGAGTGGGTTTGTAGCAGAGGGCGTGTGGCTGTGACCTGTGCTCTGCAGTGAATCGCAGCAGGGAGAGGGGAGAGGAGGCGAGGGTGACGGGGGAAGTGTTTGAATGTCAAGCAGGGGGTCAGAAAGCCCCCACGGAGAAGGCTCCCTTCAGCTCACAGGCCTCTGGGGACATGAGTGTCTTAACAGAGAGGATGATCAGGCGTGATTATTGAGGTGCTGCCGGGGAGGGGCCTGCACGGGACCTGGAGCTCAACCAGCGCTCAGTGTAGGTGTTATTACTGCTGCTGCCGTCGTGACTCTGACCACCTGGTTGGGTCAGTAATGTGGCTGTCGACAGGCCGTCTGGTCTCCTCCACATAATGGAACTTTGACTTGAACTCCACTGGGAAGTAGATCTCTGTCTCCATCTCATCATCATTCACAGCTGCACCTGCATCGTCTACGGTCCATTTTCTAGATGTATTAATACATCTATATAGGGACTTCCCTGGTGGCACAGCGGTTAAGAATCCGCCTGCCAAAGCAGGGCACATGGGTTGGATCCCTGGTCTGGGAAGATCCCACACGCTGCAGAGCAACTAAGCCCATGAGCCACAACTACTGAGCCCGCATGCCACAACTACTGAAGCCCGCGTGCCTAGAGCCTGTGCTCCACAGCAAGAGAAGCCACCACAATGAGAAGCCCGCACACTGCAAAGAAGAGTAGCCCCTGCTCGCCGCAACTAGAGAAAGGCCACACGCAGCAGCAAAGACCCAACGCAGCCAAAAATAAATAAATAAATTTATTTAAAAAATACATCTACATCAACTATGTCTACACCTATACCTACACATAAGTCTACATCTATGTCCTCATCATCTGTACGTGTGTACATCTACACTGCATCTACATTATCCACCTCATCTGTAGCTACACCTACAACATCTTCATCTATACCTACACCTACACCTACCTCTACATCACCTACATTTATATGTACATCACCTACACCTACACCGACATTATCTGTACCCATATCTACATCATTTACATCTGTGTCACCTCCACATACACTTATATCTACATTATCTATAGCTACACCTACATCTTTATCACCTAAATCTACACCTACACCTATACTTCAACTATACCTAAGTCATCTCTATCTACATCATCACGTACATGCACATCTACAACGATGTCTCCGTTATTTATAGCCACACCTACACCTACATCTATGGCTACATCAATGTCTGTATCTGTAGATATTCAGAGAACAGATTGAGGCCAGCCCCCTCCTATAGGGACTCTGAATCTCTATTAAGTTGAGGTTCTTCAATTCAGTCTTGCTGATTTTGGGGGGTTTAGATTGGGTTAACAGAGAAGCACCCAGACACAGGAGCACTTCCTTCCCTCTCGCTGGGGCTGTGTCTTGGCTGTGAGTGCTCTAATGTGTAGGAGGAAAAGCGAGACTTTCTTTTGTTTTCTCTAGTTCTGGTCAACGTATTGTGCTGAACTCTATATTTATGTCACAGTGAATGCTTCATGCACACATATACAAAAATAAGTCTTGAACGGGTATTTAAGCGTCCTTGTGAACATTTTTGTTTTGGGGGCAGGGCTTCATCAAAAGGTAACTGGATACCCCTTTTGTTGGTTTATATATTACTCTTAATTTTGATATAATTTCAAATTGATAGAAATGTTGCAGGCACAGAACAAGGAAATTCTGAATCCTCTTAGATTCACCAGCTATTTATGTTTTGTCTCAATTGCTTTATCTTTCCACTGTCTCTGATTATATATAACTATTTTTTTAAAAAGACCAGTTGGGGCTTCCCTGGTGGCGCAGTGGTTGAGAGTCCGCCTGCCGATGCAGGGGACATGGGTTTGCGCCCCGGTCCGGGAAGATCCCACATGCCGCGGAGCGGCTGGGCCCGTGAGCCATGGCCGCTGAGCCTGCGCGTCCGGAGGCTGTGCTCTGCAACGGGAGAGGTCACAACAGTGAGAGGCCCGCGTACCACCAAAAAAAAAAAAAAAAAAAGACCAGTTGGGCATATTATACCCTGGTTGCCCTAAATACTTCAGCCTGGGCTGGCCATTCTCTTATTTAAAAAAACCTCCAAAACAAAAGAATTACAATTTTTTTATAAGTGTGTTTCACAGCTTTGACTTGAGCTCAAAGAGATGATTATTCCTTTCCGTTGTGCTCCAGTGTGTACATGTGTTTGTGGTCCATGAGCAGTTGGATCTGGAGAAAGCCTTTTTCATTTCTGCTGGACATTAGAGCATCCCTCTTGCCCGCCCCCCATCTGTTTGGCTCAGTGAATTAAAGCTGGAGATCACCCTCTTTCTGGTTCTTCTCGCCAGGCTGAGCTCTGCCTTCATTGAAACTCCGATTACTCTGTACACCGTGAGCCACGGAGCCTCCCTCAGCCCTCGACACGGTGTGAAAGGTGAGTCCCCAGCCCTGGCTTCTGCGACATTCTGTCCTGGGAAAAAGGAAAAATCAAGCGGCTTTCTCCCTAAACTCAGCATTCATACTCCCCGTCCGTCTGGAAATTCAGTGCTTTTATGTGAGGTCCCTTCTCTCCCTCACTGATGTCCTCCAACAGGTGCTGAGTGACTGAGTCAAAAAGTTTACAAGGAGAAAATCAGATGGGGGTTAGACCCCCTCAGGGACGCCGTCCGTGAACATGAGGCATTTAACTGGGGAGAAAAAATGCAGCTCAACATTTACTTGGGCAAGAAGTGAATACTGAATTGTATCTATTCACCGCCCCGCCCCCCCCCCCCCCCCAGTGAAATGAACTCTTTCATGCAGAGGTGCTTGATCTAGTGTCAGGAGCAGAGTAGATGCTCAATTTTTGTTTGTTCTCTCTTCCATTCAAAACTGAGCAGAAATAGCTTGGTGGGCAAGCGCAGCTTCTGCCTTCAACATTTGGTCCTTTGAGGATGGTTTCACGCGCCTGTGAGATGTCAGCTCACAGCTCAGTCTCCCCAGTCCTGAAGGAACAGAACAGTGCCTGGGAGAAGAGAAGCCTGTGCTTATAGTGCCTTCAAATCCAGGGGTCTCAGAAAGCTCAGAGGGCTTTGCAGAGATGGGGTGCCAGAGTCGGAACGTTGCTGCCAGGGGCAGGGGTCCCAGACGCCCAGGGCCAGCTCCGGGGGCAGGGGGCTGTGTACAGGGTGCTGGTCTTGATGCTGTGCGGTCGCTGTCTGGACGTTCTTCACAGTTTTGATTAGCGGGCCCTGAAATTCGGCAGCTGGTCCTGCAAGTAAGCCCTTCTCCACGCCTGCTCCCAGCCACCTGCTTTGTGGTGTCCCCACTGCGTCCCCCCCATCATGGCTTCACGGCCTGCTCACTCTGCCCTGTCACTGAGGGTCAGCCCCACGGGAGGCCCTTGCTCTGTGCAACTGAGTCCCCTGGTTAGCGAAGGGAGGGAGGGGCTGGAGAAGACTTCGGGATGAAAAAGTTTAAAAATCACTGTGAGCAAAGCTGGAAAGCCTCCCGGGTGAGGCAGGGTGAGATTTTGTGTTACACTTTCAGTTTTTCCTCTTAGCTGATCTGAGGAAATGAATATGGCCTCGGGCACAGGGGATTCCTGTTCTGAGTTTGAGAGCATCACTTCCTCTTATCGCCCAGGAGGAAGGGGACGCTGAGCAAGGGGTGTCTGTGTTCATCTGGCCTGGGTTGCGAGCAGGACAAGGGAGCTACTCCCCATGGCCGAGGCCATTCCGAACCCGTCAGAGGCCCAGGCAGCTCTGCCTTGCTCCTTTGGGGAAGCCTGAGGCGAGAGTGCCCTGTGGACTGGGTTTCCACTGTCTGCTCTGTGGATCCCAGTGTCCCCTGTGAACTCGGGGGGCAGGGGGCTTGGTGGGCACTGGAGCCCTGCTCCCACACAGTGTTACTGCAGGAGGATCACGGATCTCAGTCGGTTGTACCCAGTGTGATGGGAACTGTGGGCACCTCCCTCCCCTCCGCAAGCCCAGAGGGGCCGAGGGACTTGTCCAAAGTCACACAGTGGCCGGCAGAGCTGGGTCCTCAGTGTGGGCTGTGGACGCTTCAGACCCGGGGATCTTTCCCTGTTGCTTTTGATCATACGTAGTAAACCCCACCCCAGCGCTAGACAGGGGGCTCCAGGATAATTAGTGTATTTTTCAACACATACATTTTCTTCCTCTTTCATTGGTGATGATACTTGCCTCATTGTCCTTTTTTTTTTTTTTTTAAAGATCTCGCCAGGGCTGTGCAGGATATAACAATAGCAAAACCAAGACAAAAAGGCCTCCCCAAGAACGTTCCAAGGAAAAAGGAGATCATAGCGAAAGACAAAGCAGATGCAAGTCGGGAAGAGGCACCACTGAGAGGTCCTGAAGACGCAAAGCCAGGGCAGGTGGTACCTAAAGAAGAGGGTGAATCTAAGCTCGAATCAGGGGAGGGAGAAGCAAGTCCCCCGACCGTGGACGGGGCTCCGGAGGATGTCCCAGACGGAGGGAAGATAAGCAAAGCCTTTGAAAAACTAGGCAAGATGGTCAGGGAGAGGGTGAAAGGCCCCAAAGAACCCGAGCCCCCCGCTGACCTGTACACCAAGGGGCGGTATGTGCTGGTCTCCGGAGATGCCAATTTCGTGGACCCAGGCTTCTGTTCCTTCTCCGTCCCGGCCAAAGGGGGTGTGGTGGTTTCCAAGGGGGACGACTCTGTGCTGCCTGACAGCCACGTGGAGCCCTCTCCCCAGCAGCCGGAGCCCC